TGCTGAGGGGAGCAGAGGGAGGGTCAGGAGAGGTCTGCTATACCATGTGGGTCAGTTCCCTGGCTGGGGATCGAACTTGTGTTGCAGTGGCTGTGGCGATAGCTTCATAGTGCTGAGCTAACCCCTTGTACCACCAGGGAGCCCTCAAGAAGCAAATCTTATGGGTAATAGCTAAGCCTTGGGGTGACTCTCAAATCCCTTACTCAAAATAGGGTCATTAAAAGGCGGAGGGAGTGGAGTTTAGGAATGGATCTATGAAAATGTTTTCTTTGAAGAAAGCAGCACCTTCTCCAAGATCTTCCTCCATTATCTCCCCAGAGAAGGGACATGAATGCGAGTGCCAGGATGGCTTCATTTGTACCTGCTATTTGGAGCATTTGACTTTACCTGAGAAACCTAGAGTTGAAAGGCTGATGGTATAGGCTTGAGGCTGAAGTTGGGAGCAGGCAAAGGAGGAGAGAGAATGTTGGAGATCCTTGTGCTGTAGGAGCTGCTCTGGTTGCCCCAGTGAGTCAAGGATGGATGAGATACAGAGTACCGTGCTTTCTTGAGGACAGAGAAAGCTGTCCCCAAAGAACACCTGAAAAATTGACCTCCACAAGGAGCATGGGTCTATGGTGGCCTACAGGAACCGGAAATCAGTCAGACAAAATGGCACTGCCCTGGTCACTAGGGGCACAGTCAAATACTGCACCATCAGGGTTTCCAAAAGAGCCAGAAAGCACTCAAGGGGAAGTGCAAGCTCTAGTCACTGGTTAGGCCTAGAGAGCAAAGCTTCCTGTAATGTGTGTGAACTTAACCTTCATCCTGCCTTCTCTCTTTGTTATGAGTTTGGAAGAGGATCCATGGTGAAGAAACGAGTCTTTTTACCCTGTTGAGGGAGGGCACATTTGCTTGCACTGGACCCTGATGAGGAAAGTGGAAGGCAGACCTCCTTTTGAATGAAGCTTGAAGTTTGGATCAAAATGTTGGCATTTACATGAAAAGTTCTGAGTGAAAACTGTATTTTGTGGCTTACACTGACTGAAGAATTGTATGGTGCCACACAAGTTTTTTCACCCCAGGGCAGTGGACCATCTCCCGTAGGACACAAGCCCCAGTGAAGGGGCTTTTCTTCCATCCCCCAATCAGTCTGCTTGTCCTCCCTACCGTTCTCATCTGAGCCAAGAGCAATGTGCTTATTCACTGAAGCTCACCAACTCAGCAAGTGCTTTTGCACTTTAAATACACTGCAGTCAAGCGGTGCTTTGTGGACAGAGACATCCTGACTCATCGACTTAGGAGCCGGGCAGGTATTTCTCAGAGAACAGAGCAGAAGCAGAGAAAGAGGTTTGAAGACAGTGAAAACTTCAGCTGAGTTCTTTGGGGCTTTTAGGCTCTGGCTCCTGGAATGTGGTTCTTTTGCCCTTGGGTTCTATAAAAATAGAGATTACCTTTTCAGTGGCAAAATTACATTTTTTAAACTTAATTTACTTAATAGTTGTGCCTTTGGCTGATGCACTGAGGCACATGCCTTTTTCCACACCAGCTCTGGGCGCCTCTGGAGTGGGGGTCTGCTCTCCACCTGGAGAGATGGCTCCAGTGGCCCATGTTCGACTGACACAGAGTGAGCCTTGCCAGGGAGGACAGGGAAAGGCTGGAACTGGTAGCACAGATATCTCATTCCAAGGGCTTCAGCTTTGTCCCAATTCTGTGCATCTCCCTGGTGGCAGAGGGGCTAAAATCTCAGCACTATCAAGCTATCACCAGCCACTGCAGCACGAGTTGAGTTCAATCCCCCGCCAGGGAGCTGACCCATGTGGCCCAGCAGACCTCTGTCTCACCCCTGCTCCTCTCAGCAGTGTATTTCGGTAGATCTGGCTGTTCTGCTCCCCACTCTGTCTCCGGTGAATCCTCCTACCCCCCACATCTCTGGCTTACACCCCTGTTCTTCTACAAATAAATAAATAAATAAATAAACAAATCATTAAAAAAATGTATCTGCTGTTTTGCTTAGGAAATAAAGATGACGATGTTTTTCCTCATACTTTGCTCAGCTCCCATGCCTCTAGAATGCCGTCACTAGCTACATTTTTGTTTTCATATTCGGAGCCCCTGCGTGTGCTGCCAGCTTGTGATGTGGATAAGCTGATGTTTTATGCAACAGCCCCTTAGGCTGCCATTAGATTTCTTTTGTTTCTTACTGAAGTGACACTGGTTTGCCCCACTGGGCGTGATTCAGAGGTAGAGGACAGCTTTCTTTCTTCCTGGGCGCTGCTCAGTGTTCCTCGCTTGTTCCCTTGATGGCCATCTTGCCCCTTTTTCTGGGATGACACCTTTTGACTCAAACGATTCTTCATTTTCTTTAGGACAATTTCCTTCAGGATTGCGTTTCCATGCCCATCATGGAGTCACTTGATGGGTCACTCGATGCGCCAGGTCTGCGTCTTACTTGGTGTTACACCTCTACCCCAGCCTGTCCCTGGAAAATGGTAGGTTCATCATCCATCTGTGTGTAATAGTCTGTCATAGGGAATGGATGTCCATTTCTCTGGGGGGGAAAAAAAAAGCAATGTGGCCCTCCTTGGTGGTGCAGCGGGTTAAAACACAGCACTGAGAAGCTTAAGCCACTTCCGCATGAGCTCCATCCCAGCCTGCGCCTGCCCCGGAGGTGACCACATGGCGTGGCAGACCTCTCCTGACCCACCCGCTGCTCCCCTCAGCAGTGTACTTCCTGGATCTGCCTGTTCTGCTCCCCTCTCTGTCTCTGGTGAATCCTCTCACCCTCCACATCTCTGGCCTGTATCCCAGTTCCATATGAATAAATAAATAAATCTTTTAAAAAAAAAAAAAAAAACAATGATCCAACACGGGCTGCTTAAATGTTGCCCCAGTGAGGAGCCAGGGCAATTGTACAAATGTCACCATTGTCGACAAGGTCCACCCCTTCTCTGAGCTGTCAGGTACCACTCCCCTAGCCAGATGGTCTCTCTCTTCCCCCCACATCGCTTCCTCCCTGTACCCTTGCGTTTCCTCTGCCAGGAATGCCATACCCCTGCAGTTTTTTCTACCTGGCATTTTCCCATTTAGGTGGTACCTAAGAGCTTAATTTTTAAAGAGTACTTCTAGAGGATTTTCTTTTCTCCTTTGCTCTTAATCCACTTTGAAATTTATCTGTTTGCTGGTTCATTAAATGTCTTTTACTGCTAATAAATAGCTTCCAGTCTGCTGTGATCAGGTAGCAGAGTGCCTCATTCATGGAAAGAATTAGTAGTTGATGATTAAGTTTCATTACGTATCTGATTAGTAAATGAGTAAAAGAACAGCCTTTGATATACACGAACTTAATTCTAAAGAAAAAATGTTGGTGCTGAATTTCAGGCATGACTGTGGGGGAAAATATTTGGAGTATTTTTCTTACCAATTTGTTCCTGTGAGGCATTACTAAATCCCTCTTTTTTGCTGTTCTTAAATCATTTAAATATAAACGAACCTCTCTACTAAATTATCTGCTGAGAGTACTGTGGGACACGTTTCCAGACTATCAGTTAGGATTCCATTATTACAAAGGTTCTGTGGAAAAAAAAAAGTTAGGTAATGAGGTTGCTGTCCTCCAGAGTTTTGCCTTATTCTTAGGAAACAAGAGAGAAAAAAGTGTCTTGTATCAAGTTTCTTATCCTTACTTCTTTTCAAGTTCGTATTTACTTTAACATTCTTTTCCTTCCTTATGTTGATTTTTTTGTCAACCTCCACTATCACATAATTTACGGGGTTCTTGAGGGAAGTGTTTCGGTTCAAATAGCTTATTTCAGAACCCCATGACAAGGCAATGAAGAGAGCTAAGGGCATGGCTCGCAGTTGAGCTAGCTTCTCCCCTGTAAACTGACCAGGATGGTACAAAGCTTGGCTGAAGTGGCCTTAGAGCTCAGATTACTTTAATTAAGGGTCATTGATCATTATCTCAGCTCTCCAGTTGCTCAGTTTTCATTTCCTAAGTCTAAGTTATTTTTTGAAATGCAGTCACAAATCTTTTAGAATTCCCTGCACTAGTAGTTTCCAAGTCCTATCTTCTGAATTTCTTTCTGTAGTTTACTTTCTTTTTTTGGTTAAGGTTTTATTTACTTTGTAATTTGGATTCTAATTTTTTTTCCTCAGGGAATTTCCTCACAAATCTGTCTATCAGATAGCACATTTTTACACTAAGAGTTGGGTAAGTAGTAGCCACTCAGGAAAAGATAAGGGGTTCTTAGTTTTATTTGCAAAGTTAAGCGGGCTGATGTATTTTCTTGATGGTTCTCATCAACTCTCGGGCACATTATTTTCTATTATGTTAGAATTAGTTCCTTGGGCAGTCTCAACATTTGCTTTAACACCATCTACTCCCCTTACCCGGTCTTCTAAAAGTTAACACCTACTCACAATGGAAAACAAAGTTAATAAGAAAAAAGAAAGCCACAGATAACCTCGCTAGGGATGAAAACATTTTAGGGCTTTTCATTGCATATGGCAATTTCTTACTGACACTTTTCATGCAGCATTTAAAAAAATAGCCCAAGACTGCAAATCCAAGCGATGTTAAAGTTTAGATGTTATTCATCCCGTTCATACGGAAATCAGAGAATCGCAGCGGCGTAAGGAAGTTCTAGTCTGGCAAAGGAACCTGGGTACCTCGAGTTCTCTAAGGGGTGGTTTCTCCGCCACAAAACACATTCCCATTTGCGGCCACCTGGGAGCCGAGCGGGTGGGGGCGGAGTTCCGATGGAGGCGGGGGAGAGGAACTATCGAGCAGTCACCAATCAGGGTGCCTCTTTGTTTTCACCTCTTCACCAATCAGGGACCTCTGCTCGCGAGGTTGTCTTCAAATCTAAGACGCCCACCTCTACATCAGCCTATCAGAGATCGCCTCTCATAATACGTCGTGCTCTCTGGCCCCGCCTCATTGCGTGGCCCCGCCCCGCCGAGGGAGGGGGCCGAGGCGGTTACTCGCTGCGCTGAGGTGGGGGCCGGGCTCCTGCTGGGCTCGTGCGTCCTGTGCCCGCCGCGGCGGTGCCGAGCCCGCCGGCTCCCGATTGTCCTTCGCGGCCCGCGGTCGCTGTCTCCTGCCCTCAAAGCCCGCGGCTGCCAGGGCCAGAGCGAGCGCACCTTCCGCGGCCACGGCTGCCCAGAGCAGGTAGGTAATGGGGCGCCGGGGCAGCAGCGCGTGTGGGATCGCCCGGTGCGGTGCGTTCGGCGGAGTCGCGCTCCCCCGGGCTTCCACAGCGGGCCGCCGGGCCGAGCGGGGCCGTGTCCCCCGAGCCTCCCGCGCGCCTCCGGGCGCCTCCGCCCGGGAGCCCGCTGCCGCTGCACCTTGCGGGGGAGACGGGGGCGGAGGCGGGGCGGGGGAAGGGCGGAGGCGGCGGCGGGCTGGAGGACGAGCAGGTGGAGGGATAACTGCGGAGTTGAGTCAGAGTCACACTCTTCAGGGCAAAGCACCTTCTGAAAGTGGCGATTAGCGCAACGGTGTCTCCACTTGGGTAGTGTAAATTATTCATTTTGTGGAGTCAGGCGCTTCTCAGTGAGATTTTTACACATTAGCGTCTCTCACTCATTATTTATTACTGTTTCAATTTAAAAACAGCCGTTAACGTGAACTTGTTTGGGGCTTTTCCTTAAGTGACAAGTAGACCCAGCAGGGTGACTCACCTTTGTCTGGGCTCAAGTGGGGAACGGTGCGCTAGGAATGAGGGGGAGGAATGTGGATGAGGGGATGTGGAAGGATGGTGGGGGTGGTACCTTGTTTTTCTCACTCTGTCTTGGGTGGGAATAGAATTGTGACTCCTTTTCTAATTTTTCAAAACTGCGACCGGATTTGAGAAAGCCTCTGTGCAAACACTATCTGGGTGTTAGGTTTTTAGAGCTGCACCTGCTGTTCATGCAGTAATACTTGGGGGCCAAATCCTAGACAGTTACGACGTGATTCGATTTGCTGGTAAAGAAGCACCTTGCTGTTACCTTTTCTTTCCCTGCCTGATAAGGCTTTTCCATGCACCATTTTGTCACAAGTGGAATGGTGAAGGTCACGGAGTTGAGCAGGCAGGGCGCCCGGAGAGCTCGGAGCAGCGTCCCCCTTCAGGCGTGCTGCCTGTAGGTCTCTCATTGGCGCTCGGCAGCACTGCATCATCTCAACCTGCCACCCTCCTACTCCTGAGGCAGGCGGTGCCTGTCATGCCCATTTTACAGGTCCATAAACTGAAAGCCCTAGAGATGAAAGGAATTCTGCCCCAGGTCGTTTGACGATGACTTTATTCCTACTTTGTAGAGGGTTTAATCCAGGATCTGGTAGGGTTCCCATCATTAAGCTTCTGCATACCATTTGGATTGGGTGTACGCGAGTCAGATGGAGATGATAATTTCCAAGTAAAGAAATTTTGTCTTTTAAGTTTATTTTTCCTCTTAGGTTGCTAAGATACTTTGAATTTCACCAGCAAGGTAATTTTTCATAGAGGTAAAGCAAAATAAACAAACCTAGTGGTGCTGCCGAAAATGTAAGTTTGGGAGTTTTCCAAATTAGGGACACTTGTCTTGTTTATGCTTGCTTCTCTAGCACAGCAGTAGATTTCAGTACAGTTTTCTGAAATGAAATAATTACTATGCATACAGCAAATAAAAATGAGGTGTAATGCATTTTGGTCATGAAATCATTCTCTCCTGGGAAATGCTGTTATGGATTTAGTAAAAAGGTTGAATATGTAAAAACCTTTCATTAAAATAACTTAAGCAAGGCACTTTGGGGTTAATGGAGACAGGCTTGGATGGATAGTTGGGCGTATTCTCTTGAATGATGTCAAAACTTCAGGAACTCTGGAGAAGTGTTGGGTTATCTTCAGTTTATTAGTCATTAGGAATATGGAAATATCTTACGACTCACTGAATGGAATTTCCTAGTCATGAAGTAACCCCTATTTTTTGTGGCACATACAGATGTTGTATGTAACATGTTCATTAACTTATTTGGACGGTATATAAGGATTCCTTTCACAAGCCCTGTCAGTCTAGTTCTGCTTTAATTTATTTGCACCAAAATCTTTACTTATCTCTTCCTCTGCTGTCAAGCTGAATTTTCTAGTACCTAAGTAAAAATTTCCATAGAGAAATCTTATCAGCAGTTCATTTGTACAGTTCATAGTAGAATGGGTCCTCCCTTTTGATAAACACAAACTTTTACTTACTTATCATAAATCCCCATGATTTTCAGGACTTATATGCCTTAAAAAAAAAAAAAAAAGACAGGACTTGCCCAGATGGTACACTGGGTGTTGCTTTTAGGAGATTTTTTTTTTTCCTTACTAGAAACATTTCACTGACAAAATACACAAAGGTACAGCAGCTGCTGCTTTTGTAATTTCAATCTAGACAGAAGTTCAATGAATAGTTTAAGTCACTTTATTAAATGAGATTATGTGGAAGGAAAGGGCAGCTTAATTTTAAGTGAACCCAGTCCAGAGTGGATTTGTTGTTCCTTAATTATCTTTATTTAAACTTTATTTTTAAATGACTTGTGTTTTTACTTAAATCTTATGTGACTGTGAACTATGTGAGCACTTTTTTTTTGGGTATTTTTCCATCTCCAGCAAATGGATTGTACTGATTTTTTTTTTTTTTTTGCATACTATTTTTGAAGGTTGGTGGCTATTCCTAATTCAGTCTCCAATCTGCCAGTGGGTCACAAGCTCAGTTTCAGAAATACTGGTCTTATTTTAAGTATAAAATGGTGGTTATTAAAAAAGAAGGGGGAGGAGGATGTCAAATGTATGGGTGAGAATTAGACTTGGTGCGCATAATGCCTATCCTATGCTATTTAACTGATGTTACAAGTCAATACTACTTCAATTGAATGTTTAAAAATATTGATCTTCCACAGTTTTTTCAAAGTCTCTACCGCTCTCAGATTTTAGTATTTCTTTTTTATTGTCAAGTTTTGCAAAATGACTGAAGTGACATTGATTTAGGTCACTGTATATGATTCAGGGGAATAGACTCACTGCTCAGAAGTACAGCAGCACAGCCCACCCAACACGGGAGCACCTATATCCTTTTATTATGTAACTCTGGGTCCCCTCGCCACCCTCCCCTCTCCCCCAGACCACCCATGTAGTAGTCTCAATTTTGCTGTCATGTTTCTAGGTTTTGTTTTGGTCTCTAGTTTTGTCAGTCCCCTTGTTTTGTTTCTCTGCATTGAACATATGAGTGAAATCATCCAGTATGTGTTTATGCCACAGGTCTATTCACAGCATGTAATCCTCTCCAGTTCCATCCAAGTTGTTTAAAATGACAAGGGTTCATCTTTTTTATAGCTGAGCTGTATTCCACCATGTGTATGTACCGCTTAATCGCTCATCAGTCATTGATAACTTAGGTAGTTTCTGTAACTGGGCTGTTGTAAACCACTCTGCGATGAATGTAGGAGTGCACATTTCCCTTTCAAATTAGTGCATTTTTATTTTTTGCATAAATAGCAAGAAGTGGACTTGCTGGATCTTCTGGTATACCTGTTTTCAATTTTTGAGCAACCTTCATACTGTAGTCCATAGGGTTTGGACCAGTCTACATTCCCATCAGCAGTGTAGGAGGGTTCCTTTTTCTCCACACCCTCACCAACACTTGTTTCTGATGTTTTGGTACATTTCTTCCTCACAGGTAGCTTGTTGTGGCTTTGACTAGCACTTCCCAGATGAGAAGCGACGATGAGCTTTTTGTGCCTGTTGGCCATTTGTATGATCTTGGAGAAGTGCCTGATTAGCTCTTGTACCCATTTGTTCACTAGGTTATTCCTTTTCTTTTTGTTTGTTGCATTGTATAAATTCTTTATAGAGCTTGGGTTATCAGCCCTTTTTCAGATGCATTTGTATGCAGGTATTTTCTCCCATTCAGTGGAGTGTCTTTCATTGATAGCTTTTTTTTTATACTGGCAGAAGCTTTTTGTTTTGATGTAGTCCCATTTGTTTATTTTCCTTACTGTTAGAGTCCAGTCTTCAAAGACATCCCTGCAACTAGTGTTGTGCCTATGTTTTTTTTTTTTTCCTGTGTATTTTATGGCTTATAGTCTTACATCTAAGTCTTTATTTAACCCATTAAAAATTTTTTTTAAAGATTTATTTATTTGGACATACAGAACTGGGGTACAGGCCAGAGGCTCAGGGGCAGCGAGAGGCTTCACCAGAGACAGAGTGGGGAGCAGAACAGGCAGATAGACGAAGTACACTGCTGAGGGGAGCAGCGGGCAGGTCAGGAGAGGTCTGCCGCGCCATGTGGTCACCTCCGGGGCCGGCGCAGGCGGGGATCGAACTCATGCGGAAGTGGCTTTAGCTTCTCAGTTCTGTGCTTTAACCCGCTGCGCCACCAGGGAGGGCCAACCATTTTAATTTTTAAAAAGATTTTTTATTTATGCATACAGAACTGGGGTACAGGCCAAAGGAGAAGGGACGGTGAGAGGATTCACCAGAGACAGAGTGGGGAGTAAAACAGGCAGATTGATGAAGTACACTGCTGAGGGGAGCAGTGGGTGAGTCAGGAGAGGTCTGCTGCGCCACGTGGGTCACCTCTGGGTCCGGGGATTGAACTTGCACTGAGGCTGCTGTGGCCAGCTTGATGTGCTGCGTCCTTACCCGTTGCACCACTAGGGAGGGCCCCAGTATAAGTACATTTTTAAGGAATAGTGTGAAAGAGTGGTTTAGTTTTGTTTTTTTTTTTTTTTGCATATGACTGTCCAGTTTTAACGATGCCATTTGTTGAAGAGACTTTCCTTTCTCTGTTGTATAGTCTCATTTCTTTGTCATTGATTAACTGTGGATATAAATGTGGGTTTATTTCTGGGCTCTCAATTCTATTCCATTGGTTTTGTGTCTGTTTTTATTCCTGTTTTGATTATGGCTCTGTAATAAAGTTTACAGTCTGGGAGTTTGATACTTCCATACTTCATTTTTATAAGGATTATTTGGGGCCTTATGTTGTTCTGTGTAAATTTGAGTAATGTTTATTTCTTTGCAAAATTCCATTGGAATTTTGACAGAGATTGTATTGAAGCTGTGTATTGCTTTGGATAAGATGGATATTTTTGGCAATGTAAGTTCTTCCAATCTCTGAGCAGAGAATATTTTTTCTTTTCCTTATCTCTTTCTGTTTAAATTTTCA